TTATGGTCGAATAATACCTGTCGAAGAAGTGGTCTGGAGAAGACATACCGTACTCGTAAATAGGCCACTTCCGAGTTCCAAAAACCCTCACTTTCAAAATGAGGCCAAGTGCACAACCTTTCTTGTGAAAATGAGGTTTACTTGCATGAGAATGAAAAACATTTCCATATCAAAGGCTGAGCACTTAACCTCGTTTTGATACAGAGGCCCGGGGGAACTCGGAAATGACCTATTTCCACACCGGTTTCTACCGTTTTACAGAAATTGCTCAGATTTTTCATAATAGATATATTTTTAATCAATAAAACACACCTAAAAAAGGGTTTAGCAAAACCACGCCTCCTGTTTCCTAATCGTACTGGCCGGATTGTTCATGTATAATTGAATATTGTGGGTTTCTAACAAAAACAGGCCACTTTAAGATTTTGTTTTTATCGATACAAACAAGACCGTTAAATTTGTAGTAAATCATGGTGAGACTACCCCTCATAAACTTTATGCGTCTAAAAAGCTTGGCACACCCAACCATAACACCCAACCTCTTCTCCGTCAAGCGCGTCCCGCAAAAGTTCCATGGGCAGACCCCTTAGGAAATTCCGCGCGGTTCTATCCGAATCTTTCCTTGTGAACAGCACACACAAAATCTTCTTTAGCTTAGCTGGTAAACGGAACCGATCATTAATACCTAAAGTAAGTTTTATCTCAGTTCTTGACGTGTCTTCCTCGCTTATAAACTTGTATAATGCCTGCGGGTGGTTGTAAAAGGTAACCTCACGTTCCGAGGGAGCACTGTTCATGCTATTCAATATATCACTGGCGCTGCCCAAGAAATCTCCATCGTCATCTTCACCTTCGTCATCAGCCTCACCTTGACTGTCAGAGTCATTTACTGTTGAAGATCGCGACGCTGAGCGGGAAGAAGACGCAGGGGAGGCTAAAATGGTCAAACCAGAAAAAGCTATAGACATAGTCAGAGATTTACTGTCTTATACAACGCGCTGTAACAATGGGACCAGGGGGCCCGTTTCTTGAACGTCCCGGTAACTTTTCGAGCGCGGAAAGCTGTTTTTGTTTGTTTGGCGTGTTTGCATTCAGGATCAAAGTTTCAATAACTTTGAAAATGATACAATGAAGCTATCAGATAACGGAGCAAAATTGAACGGTTTGTGAGCTAGGAACTGTGCTATTATTCAACAAGTTTTGATTTTTAAATTTGCCCTCGGGCCGAAAAGTCACTGGGTCTTTCGGGAAATGAGCCCCCGAGGTCCTTCAAGGTTAGCCGCCAAACTCTATACCAACAAAATATTATCCCAAGCAGTCTCAAATACTGACAATCAGTTTAAAGTACTAAACATAAAAAAAGAAGCGAGTATAGAGAAAAAAGAAAATCTTAAAGTTATAAATATGTAATTTATTCAAGGGCATTCCCGGAAAGACAATGATCTCTACATGGCCGATGTGGGATACTCTAAGTTGCTAACTTGATTTCATTCTCTCAATACATTTCTAAGGTCGATGATTTTATGACATTGGGCTTACGGACGCATTTTCGTTTTGAACATAACTGACGTGTGTCCTTGACTAGGTTAACATCAGGTATATTCATTGTACAAGACAGGATTTTAACTTAGTCAAAGACGAATTTTAGTTTGCCGAAAAAGGAAATGCATCCGTAAGCCCAATCTCATATAATCCTAGGCCTTAGAATTGTATAGAAGAATCGAAACCAAGACATAAACGTAGAGTAAACTAAACCCAGCTTAAAAAAAGTGAACAGACTATCTTCAACTTACATCTGCTGCTCATGGTTTGAACTGAAATGTTATTGATCCTTATGTCTGGGACCGCTCCTTCATCGTCGATAAAGACCTGACCCCTCTCGGCTGGGGGAATGTTGGGCACCGCGCCATCTGGTCGTCTTTTTCTTTCGACTGGTGTCTCTTTGTTGAAACGTGGCGGAGGAGAAACACAGATAATTATTCCATGCTCTAGGAGGTACTGACCTAGAAAAGTATGGCAAATTTTGACATTTACGACATTTTAAAAAAGGGAAAATAATACAAGTGCTTATAATAATATGGACGTTCAGAGCTCTTACAGTCAGTCAACTCTCTTATATCAAAAAAATCCTGTGCATTCAGTATGTCAACCTCGTTCCCAGGGTTCTCTCCTACCCGCCCTACGTACCCGTAGGGCGGGTAGGAGAGAACCCTGGGGACGAGGTTGTCAGTATGTCTGCTCATTTACCTTTAAAGCCTCATACTCCAGTAACCTGTGTACAGATCCCCCCTCCCTTCACAAAAAATCCGATTTTTCCTGAGGGGAGGGTGGTCTGTACACAGGCTAACATTCCAGTAACTGTTTGATTTATAGAAAACGAAAAATGAAAGATAAGAAGAAAGAAGAAATTTCGGATCAATATAAGCTTCTCACTTAGGGCACAATGATGGGTTAACGGAGGAGCTAGTGGGAAGGCAATTCCCAGAATCCCACACTGACGTGGATTTTCAAGAAAAAGGTTCCTACTGACTGACCAATAACTTTGACTTATCACGCAAAAAATGTTGCGTGACTAGCCAAATGGAAGTCTACGTAAGACGCTTCGCTTATAAATCAAATGCTCAGCACTTTGCCCTTTGTCCCCCTCAACAAAAATAAAGATACCCTTCGAATTAGCGCCCGGACGCTTATTTAATTACTGAGGAGAGAGGGGAGTACTACTCTTCCTTCGTACGCAAGACTTAGGTGTAAGAAAGTCGGCGTGGAAGGCTACAATGCATACAATGCATATGACATAAAATGTGACATAAAAACAAATGTTCTATGTCTTCTATGTGGCACAATATTTACACTTTCAAACATCCAGCTATCGCTAAGGTTCCAGTAATCTCTACCAATTCACTTTCTATTTCCTACTAAGCACTATCCTCAAGCACAGTTGTCCGAAATATTACCCTAAAATCTGTTCGCCTTAAAAGGGCTCGGACACTTTTTGCTACCTCTCTGAAAAGGCAAAACAATAGTCCAGTTTTGCTTATTTAGACAATAATTAAGCTTTGAAACTATTTCCTGTCGTCTGTTGCAACGGATGAGCATAGATTGAAACTTGAAAAAGTTGGACAAACTTTTTTTAAGTTTTAATATTATGACTGCAAAACTCACCGAAGTAAATTTTCAAAACGCATTTTCAACATGGCGGCAAATTCGTCCCCAAGAACAGTCCCACAATGCACTTTGACAACCATCTCGGTCTTCCGCGCAACCTCAAAGTGGCGAATTTTTGTGTATGTGTGAAGGAACTAAGTAACGACCTCAGCACAGTAATGACCAAAAACAGCAATATCTTCGTGACATGGCCCCTTTAAATTAAAAATTTCCTTCTTGACACATGTATCTCACCTAGCTCCAGTCCAGTTTCAGTCTCTGTGTCTCCAATACACACACCCAGACTATCAAGACCATGGTCGCGAACATAGATTTTCACCCAGTCCACAAGTTGAGTTCCAGAGAAGCACTTCCGAATTGTGTGCAATTCACTTCGCAACGCCTGAATGACAAAGTCTGCGGGGGCATTGAGACTAGCCTGATGCGAACTGACGCTGACTGACGACGTTCGTTCGTCGACCCTGAACTGTCGCTGCAAATTTCGCACCTAAAAAAACGCATAAAGAACAACTGTCTTTCACCAGTCAAGATTCAAGACCTTTGTTGCATCTTTCTTTTAATCCGATTGCCTTCTTCTACCCTACAGTCTCTTTTCTTTCAGTCCCCTGCAGCGTCCCTATCTCCCGCTCTAGAAGAGGCGAAGGAGAGGGACTATGGGAAATAGGTTACTTATTGACTGAAATAAAACAAATTTCTTGACTTTCATGAACTTGCAATTTTAAATCAGTTAACGTCATCTTCCTTTGCAGGTCATGAATATTCTTCTCTCCCTTTTCAGCATCTCCTTTTTTTTACAGGACATGAGGTATTAATGAATTCAATTCAATTTTATTTTTCCTTGACCACTTCCTGACCAGTAGTAGTCAAGGGTATGTAAGTCTGTGGCAGTAGTTACTCACCTGCTTGTAAAGGGACTGGTACATAGAGATGAGATCATTTGTTGGGTGGGTATACAACTGAATGTGTTTCACGACGGCGTCCTTAAAAAGAGACAAACTAAAACAGTCATGCGCGAACACCAGCGATGCTTACCATTTGCACACACCACTCGGGTGGTAATCTCTTGCATAAAGATAAAACTTTAAAATTTGACATGGTGGGAGAACGACCCGCTACAAAGTATATACAAATCAGTTGAACAAACCAAAAAGAGTGCAAAAATTATATCGCAAACGGGATGGCGCAAACTAACCGGAATTTCCAATTTTTCAATGTAAATGAAGTACTTCATGCCTACGTTCTACGTTTCCTTCTAAAATCCAGACCTAAAATATCAGATCGTCCCTCACTATCCCTTAGCGATGAGCACTGTCGTAGGCACTTACAACCTCGTTTCAAAGGGCTAAAGGATATATATAGACGAGGTCGCTGATCAAGGTTGCTGAATTATTTTTATTGTCACGTTTGCCACACAAGGTTTGCCATGTTCTTTCCTCTCTCGTCCTGTTGTGTAAGTTCACTGTTCACTGTTAGTGAGCTTACGCGACAGAACGGGAGAAGAGAGAAAAGGAAACCCTGTGTGACAAGCGTGACAATAATTTTGTTTAAAAAACTTGTTCGGCAAACTTCACCCTCCTTTATACAGATCTTCTTGTGAAAGACCAGAAAACACTGATGGAAGTAAAGATCACGACAAAACACGCAAGTACTAGCCCTGTCACGTTTGTCACACACACGTTAAGTGTTTTGCCGTCCTCTTCTTTCTGCCGTCCTGTTGTGTAAGTACACTACTATAGAAAGGAAGCCGTCACACAAATGACAATGCGGTATTAAACTTACTATGGGCGAAGCCAGTGAATCACATGATAATCCAGCCCCTTTAGCGTGAAAAAACTGTATCATATACTGGGAAAAAAAGATGACAGTAACAAAATCAGTACATTTCATTTGATGTGTATATCTTTGCGATTAAGATGAAACACGATAGTCAGCGAAAACAAATAAAAAACAACAAAAAAAAAGATATAGCTTACTGCCACAGCTTGTTGAAGGAGTTTGCTTTGTTCTGATGCTAAAGACCTCTTTCTCACTAACCGATGGGCTTCATCACTAAAGTTCTATTAAAAACAGTGAAAATATGACGATTAAGGACTTGTTAACGCAGTAATTCATCGCAAATTAAACTGCAAGGGGAATGGCTTTCGGTGCTAAGTTTTCTCGGATCCATTGGGTTGACAATGCAAGCAATGATTGGCAAATGGTTGCCTTTGGATACCATCAACCATTCACAACTAAAGCTTGTCCACCAAAAAAAAGGCGCCAACAGCTTATTTCCAGCCTCCCTGTACTTTTGGAGCAACGAACCCTCGGGACGACCGAAGACTCGGAGAGACTCGAGTCGGAAAGGCGGAAATTGAGACTACCTAGTGTACTTACCTCGACTACTTCCGACCAAAAATCAGCTAGAAGTTTGTTGAAACAGTCGGAATATAAGACACCATGAAATCTGCGTAGTTCACGCGATAGGAAGTCCATGGCCGGCCTAAGACGTTTCTTGATGGTGTATCTTGGAAGATTGAGATCAAGTAACTGTCGCAAAATCTGTTTGAAGAAGTTGTTTATCTGAAACAAACAGGCGTTTCAAATTTTAGCATGCATCTTTATGACGTAGGGAATCTTGAAATAAACCACAACAAAAACAGCTAGGAAACATGTGAAACATTTGTAAGACCCTGTTCAGTGTAAATTTGTGTCTTAAAATATCAAATCTGGCTAAAAACGTTTAAAACACGAACTTTCGACCGCCTTATCTGGAATCTTCAACAGGCGAAGTGTAAACTGCGGACTCGGCGCTCGAAAGCTCGTGTTTTCTTGAATTTTAGCCAGAGGTCGTTATTGAATATTTCAAAATGATTTATCATAACTGTGGCCCCTCTTTTTCTTTTCATATTTTTGTTATTTGTTAAACGTCCTTGCTCACACTATTTAAGCAATTTTAGCTCTTACCAAACGATTATAGAATTTATCGACACACAAAAAACGGTCTCAAACTGTAGAGGAACTAATACAATTCATTATTCGTTAAATATATTTTTGTTTAGAAGAAGCATTTTAGTTTTGCTGCAGCTTGTTCGAAGAGAACTCAGTACTTTACCATAGTAGACCCAGAAAAAAAGAAACTCAAACAAATTTTTCAAGTGTCAGCGAGCAAAGATTTTACCAATTTGTTTATAAATGTCATGAATTACAGTAATTTATGAAAAATAGATGAAGATGAAGATGAACACGAGATGAGCACGGGACTCGCAAACACGCACAGGGCTCGAGGATGCTCTGATCTGTATCACGTGTTCGCTCGAAAACAATGCATTCTTTGTTATGCATTACGTCATAAACGTTGCCTTACATTACTATATGTTATATCGATTCGAGATTTTTTCTGCCCGTGGAACAATTGCGCACGGCTCTATTAGGCTGCTCGTTGGCAGTTATGTAAACATTGATTTACGTCATCAGTATGGAATTTCCGTCGATGAAGCGTAAACGTCTCTCCTGCGAAACGTTCTAGCGGCGAGAAGCGAAGAGCGACGCCTCTATTCCATGCTAGAGCGTTTCGAGTTTGTCCTATTCTGTATGAAGGTGTGACGTGTTATTCCCGGATACCACCTAAATGTATATTTAACCAACTAATCCCTGTAAAAAGAAAACGACGGTCAGAGGAAGCTGTCCTGAGAAAACAGCCGACATTTGGCAACGCTACCACTGGTTTCCCCGCCAAATGACGTCTGAGAAACGAGCGCAAAAATTCCATACTAATGACGCGTCACTGCCCAGATCTGGGTAGTGTTTCTGATTGGTCGTGCCGCGTGGGAAATGTATTTCAACCAATCAAAAGCACTACTCAGATCTGGGTAGTGACGAGTCGTCAGTATGGAATTTCTGCGCTCGTTTCTCAGACGTCATTTGGCGAGGAAACCAGTGCGTAGCGTCGCCAAATGTCGGCTGTTCTCTTAGGCTAAGAGGAAGCACGCGTAGCTACTTTACCCTGTAAGTGGCAAGCCTAACTTGAGCTGTTTCCAGTCCACAGAGGTGTTCAACGCCATTATGAAGCGATGGATCATCAGGCGCGCATGCTCTGAGAGGAGAACTACCCCATCTACCTGTTTCACCATGAACAACAGTAAAAGGTTACACAATGAATACACCAATGAAAATGCAGTCACATCTGGGCCATCGTCGCGCTGCCAGAGGGTAAGAAAAAAGTTTCAGAGCAGGTTTTCATTAGACAAACATTTATAACACACCCGCCTGCGGGTTCTGCATGTACTGACGATGATTGTTGTCCATCCGAAACATGTCTAAATTTAAAACTGTCGTAACTTTTCCATTTTGTGT